ATTTTCGGGAAGATCGATTAATGTCGTGACTAATCGGGTAAACAACGCCAGCGATATTTGGGAATTTTTTTTTTTTTCCTACGGTAAAATCCCTAAAACTATATTCCCAAAATACGTCATAATGCCGAAAGAAATAACGATCCTTCGTTTTTTTTTTTACCCCGATTAACCGATGTCGTTGCACCCCTATTGGTCGTTCTCGAAGTTATTCGAGATAACTTTGCAACGAACTGAGTAGCGACTTGGGATTAGCGAGACATGTCCTCTTTTAAAATCGATCCGTGCTTTCGCGTTTTGTTGTCATAGCAACAGACCCACGTGGCATTTGTTCCCTCCCTCCCTTTTTAAGTTTTTTTCTTTTTTATTTCTTTTTTCTCTTCCTTTTCGTCCTTCCCGAGAGAACAGTTCCGATAGTTGTCGTCGCATGGCACTATACATTCCGATCTGGAAGAATTCTCTCGATACGTTTTTTTTCCTCTTTTTTACGTCCCCCTTTTATATTTCTTTCGTAATGTTTTCGAACTTACACAAACTCTTTTTGTCACTAAAATATCGGGTCACGTCGTTGTGGATAATTTATAAACTCTCCCTCGTAATATATATACACACACATATATTTTACTTTCATCATAATTTTTAAGTTACTCAAATTGATATATATGGAAAATTTTACGTCCTGATACTATTATTTAGCCGTCGATATAATATTTTGTGTTGTTTTGTTAGATTTGTTTATCACAAACCGTGAAGAAATTTGTAAAAACACACACACAAAAAAAAACAAACCCTTGGCATTTCTTGTTTTTCTACGTTTTATTTTATTAGAGGCGTCGATGTTTTGTAATTTAATTCGGATTTCGATTGGTAATTTTGCATTTTTAACAGTCTTAATTGAGTCTTTAAAACTAAAGTAACGAAAGGGTAGCGTGGAAGAGTGGGAAAGGTCAAAAGTCGAATTATTATAATTCGTAAAATCTGGAGTGTAAGGATCGAAAGTCTTTATAGTTCCAGCAGGTGCTTTTTATCATCGATAGGATATGTTCTATCGGAACATAACCCGTACTTGGGCGTTTTCCTCTAGCGCTAAGCTCAAAAAAGGGTCGATATTTTTCCTGGTTAATACACAACTTTCCCATCATCATCATTTAAACGATTGAATTCTCGATACAGTTTAATAAATTATATTGTATATTCATTAATAAAGTAGCTTAAGGTTTATAAAATATTAAGACGACAAACAGTAAACCGACAATATTTGTTCAAAGAAAAAGAATAAATACAAGGTAGAATTTCTTCTTTTTAAATCTCGTTTTTTAAATCCACATATTTCGGAAGATAATAATAATAATAATAATAATAATAATAAATTAAGCGCACGTACTAATTAGAATTTAAAATAAATAACACGGTAAAATTTTTTATATTTAATAATATATTAAATAATATAAATCGTGCCATTACTCCGCTTTATTTCGTGTGTCTTCGTTTATTTTACCGTGCCTATGTGACGATGGATGCAGCCCCTTCCTCCCTAAAATATAAGCTATATAGGCCTATATAGAGGAACGGAAAATTCCCTACCGATCGGCACCGTATGAATTGCGCGTACCGAATTTTCCAATGGAGAAACTTAACTGTTAACGTTGCCTACTACATTGGAAACTAGTGGATCCCGAGTGGATCCTTATAAAAATATAACATTAATAAGTAAAAATGCCGGTAAGGTAGATTTCGTTAAGGCCTTATCTCGTTTTATAAATTAGTATTTTACGGTCGAGACTACGTTTTTGGTTTAACGCGTAACGGTAGCTTAATTGGGACTAGTTTAAACTGCGAAAAGGATAACAGTGTCACCCCAGACCAATAAACGTTTCTTAATAAATATATATATATAATTTCTCTGACTCCGGTGCCGTTTACGTGACGATTGGTTTAATTAACTTATAGAAAGTAATTATAAATCTTTGCGTAGTAAAAAATTAAGCGTTAAAATCAAAATACCGCTAGACGAACGTTAACGAAATTTATCATCGTCGTCGTCTCGAATCGAAGGTACTGTAGTACAATACTGTTTAAATCGAGAAAGAAGATGCTGAAAACATCCTTAAGTTAAAGAAAATCGATTTAAATATCGATTTTTCGCTTCGACCATTTAAAAGAATTTCGAGTGATTTTAACTCTGATGATTCGCACCGTGTCCATTATAAATTCTCGCGACTCGGACAGTTAGCGTTATAAATGACGGGGGGACTAGGAGTGGCGAGGATTACCAACGACCCAGATTAGCGTTGGTCGGGTTAAGACAATCACAGTCGGGACCGGTACCGACGATTATAAGTAGGCACCACGGGGAATACGAATACCGATTGCAGATGGTCGCCACTACGAATAATCGGAATTTTAGACCGGCCGGCAAAAATTTCCCACCTCTACCACCACAAATTTATGTACGATTTGATCGTTCCGGAAGTTAATCTTTTTCTCTTGTCACCAATTCTATAAATATAATAAATTCCCGATGTTTAAGAATTGAATTAGATGAATTAATGTAGGCCTAAGAGCTTGGAGGAAAAAGACAAAATAGAAGAAAGGACGACTACGACACGAGGAGTAGTTTGTAGGATGACTAATGGCCGTGTCGTGTTGAAGAAAATCAAGTAGTGATCATAATAATCATTATCGTATTACTAAAGATGTATCGAGTTACCTCACTCGCTTCTCGCTTTCGACATTAAAACATTGGAGCGCCAAGTTCGGTAGTTTCATGTTTTTTTTTTTTTTTTTTTTTTTTTTTCGGGATTCAAAATTTTGATAATATTGATTGACACTTCTGAAGATTTAAATAGCAGATTGTGGGGCCGTCGACAACTTTTAATAAGTAAATTGATTTGATTCCGTCTTTTGTTTTCTACCTGACGAGCTGATAAAATGATAGAAAAATTGTTTTTTTTTTGTTGTTTTTTGAGCCGATACATTATATAGATAGTGATAAATAAATTTATTGTTTATTCCGTATAAAAAGAATTTTCGATCGTATCTTTTTCTTATTAATAATTATATTTTATAAATGTTTTAAAATAGCGTTAATGCAGCGCTGTAACTTTATGTATTTTAACATTTGATTTGGGGGGGTGCGATTTTTAGCGCCGTGGTGGTGTTTCTTTTCCCAAAATAAGGTATATTCGTAGGCCCGTAAGTAAAGAAAATTCGGTGATATAAGGGTGCCCTTATGTATAGTTTCGTCTCCATTTTTAAAATCTGTCCTCGAGGTTTAATCTTGTGGATAGACAGAAAGCCAACCGGCGCGATAAATGTAAAATTTTAACCCTCTACAACAGGGAAAAATAAAAACAATCTGGCGTACGGACGGACACGCGAACGAAGCAAAAATAATAAAAAAAAAACGTTCAAAATTTTCCGATACAAAAATCATTTTGTCTTTTTTTCAGTCGGCGAAAATTATTTTCGTAATTCAAAACCGCGGAAGAAGCCGTACGACGTGATAGTGACGTCACGCACGGGAAATTTCATTGACGAATTAAATAAACGGAGTTTATCGTCTATGACGTCATCGGACTCCATTCAGTATTTTAATATTTATTAATTGCAAATTTTATTCGAATAATAATTGACCTTAAACTACTAGCGCCATCTGTGCGGAGAGTCGGGTACTACTAACCGGATTTATTAAAAAATAAATATTTAAAAGAAAGAATTTATTTTTGGCTCTAATAAAGGAGTCAAATCGGTAAACGTAACCCGGTTAACGATAATTCGATACGAAAAGACGCGATAATTACAAAGCGTAAAAATGAGAGGGAGTAATTGAAAAGCGAAACTTTGGTCCAATAGAAAGGGAGAACGAGGTGGGTTCCACCCACTCGATTGTCTCTTGGCATTTACGGAGACACCGGATCCATCCCAAGAGATCATCCACATCGACATCTGCTGCACGCAATCAACATTTGATCATGTTCCTTCACTTCTCCAAAACGCGGGAACTCTTTTCATTTCGCCCGCAGCGACATCTACACGAGAACGACGAAACTAACTTCTCTTCATGATTGGATTTTTCTTCCTCCCCTCTCTGTCCATTTTCTGTTCTGTCCCCCGAAGCATTTTAAGACCTTAACGTCCGAATATAATGATTGGTCGGGAGTAAAAGATATGGATTTTTTTTCCTTCTTATATAGATATAGATATAGATATATATTATTGGATTATAATTATACGAAAGAGTCGCCGTTTCGCTTTTATAGATAATTAACACTCTTTCTCTCTCTCTCTCTCTCGCTTTTAACGCAAACAACACTAAAATTAGGCATACTGCGGAAGAGCCGCCCGTTCTCTGACGTCATCGAGCGCAACCCCTTTACTATCCCTGTCGCCATGGTAACCTGGAACGACAGTGGCCCGCTTGGGAACGGAATCCGGTGCTGATGTAAGCAGTCCCGGACGGTCCGCGCGAGCCAGGCATTGATCGGTGCCTGAAGGCTAAAACGGATCGCATTAAAACCCGGTATTCGCTGGCAGCTTTCTCCCAAACGAGTACTGCTTTTCGCTCGTATGACAGTTTCGAACCTTCAGTTTGTTGCCAACAAGGTAAACAGAATCGCAAGCCAATTAGCGAATGGCATAAGCACTATCCATTGTACACTACCCAGTTCATTAAAATACAAAATGCCATCTACAATCGATTCTTTCTATCTGTTGAAGCACTACTAAATGAAACAATTCTTCTAGTTTTTTTTCCCTCCTCCCCTCCCAAACTTTTCTTCATTTTTATTTAGTCTACTCGATGAAATTTTAAATTGCACCTTTAAACTTTTATTTATTTATTTATCTATTGTAATTCGTGTCTTGTCGATTTCCGGAGCCAGTAAACTGTAAAAATTTACCGTTTAAAAATGTAGTTTTTAATTCGATTTCCTATCGATTCTTATAAAGTATTGTTTTATTGGCTGTTACTTCGGTCTATAGTTTATTTTTTTATTTTTCAGGCTCCGTAGCATCCGCAATGAATTATTCCGATCGGCCGTACGAGAGTCAAATGGTAATTAGTAAAAAATAATTTCGAGTTAACGACAAAGTGGATGTTTTCCTGTGGTTTTGATGACAATTTGCAATTTATTTCAGGGTTCGCACTGCCAGACCAACAGCTACGCTTCTTACCAACCACCTTCTCCGTACAGGCCTCACCCCGTGTCTCCTCCGGCGCACGCTCACCAGTACGGAAATCCGGGCAATCACCAACTGGGTCTGGCCTACAGTTCTGCCCATCAGATGAGTCCCTACGGGCCGGCACAAAACCATTACGGTCCCATGGGTCAGGAGTTGTATAGTAATCGTCATTCGATGTATAGCGGCGGACGAACTCTTCAGCAGATGAAGGGCACTTCTTGGACCGAAAGCGCCACCACCACGCCTAGCGACATCTTACAGTCGTATAATCAACCGTCGCCTCGCCCCCCCATGATGGCGAGTCCTCCCCACATGCCTCCTCCTCCCATGCATTCTCCCCACGGCGCCATGAGCGCCACGTCGGCTCCGCCTCCCACACCGCATCCGCACTTTCGACAGTTGGCGGTGCCATCTTCAGCTAATCACTCGCCCCACTCCTGGTCGCAATCTCAGATCCCCAGCCCGGGCACCCTTCATTCGCCGCGCACCACCCCGTCGCCCCTACCTAGTCACGGCCGGTCGCCGGCTCACGGCCAGCCTTTCTCTCCACCTCCCACGACGCCCTCTCCTCATCATCCTCCGCCCGCCATCACGCCGCATCCGCAACCCCAAAAAACCGCTCCGCCGTCTCCGTCGGCCCTGACACCTTCCGCCGCGCGCCAACCCATGTGCACCAGCCCCACGAATCAAGTGGGGGGATCCGACCCCCTGCAGTCTCTACAGAAAATGGTCATGTTGGACGCGGAGACGGTGGAATCTCCCATCACTCGAGCCAGTTACGAAATGTCCAACAGTCAGACGAACACGCCGGTGGCCAGTCGTCCCGGCTCGTATTTTTCATCGGTGGAACAGCTGGCCGGAAGCGATCCCGGCTCACCTTATCCCACTTATTACAATTTAGATCAAAATCGACTGTGTACTCCGCCGCGTACCTGTCTGTCCACCCCCACCAGTTCCACCTACGCCTCGGCCCCCGATTCCACATCCAGCAATTCTCCTCGCAGCGATTCTCACGCCACCCCGGTGGGCGCCGAATCGTCGGCGGTCAACCTGGTCAACGGAGAAGCCAATCAGTGCAACAGGCCGGAATTTGAGACTTTCGCGGCCCCCGAGGTCCGAATCACAAACGGGAGCCACCAAAACCACGACCCGACGCAGGCGAGAGAAGAGTTGAGTCGGGGGTCCAGCGACTCGGACAACAGGGAGCAGCAGGAGTACTTCGGCCGCATTGGGTCCATGAGCGAGGCCAGAAACGACGTGGCCGAAGACGACAACTCTCTGACGGGCGACAAGGACAGGAAGTCGGGCAGGGGAAGAGGGAGGACCCCGTCGCACGACAGAGACGTCTGCGACTCTTCCCTGGACAATTCGGTGGACAGACAGCCCAAGAACAAGCCGATCCTCTGGTCTGCCAGCAAGAGAAATTCCACTCTGCAGGAGTTCGAAATCACAAACGGTCAAGTGGACGATGTCAACGACGAAAATTCCGACCGAAAATTCGCTCCCGCTTCGCCCCAATTCTACGGCCCCCTGAACAGATGGAACAAGATCTCCCCCGTCGAAGATTTGGGCGCTTACTCTCTGGGCCGCAACTGCCTGCCGGACGACTGTCTGCCCATCAGTCTGGCCTCCGGAATGAAAAGGGGCGCTCGACGCCGAAGGGCCAACTCGGGACCCCACCTGGACCCAGACGGCGCCCACCACGCCTGGGATCCCCTGATGCCGGGCGAAATGAGAGGCCAGAAGGGATTCAGGATGACTCGAAGGGGATCGGGTCGAAGAGGCGGAAGAAGGCGCGCGGGCGCCAGTTTGGGCACCGTCGACCGATTCGACAGACGAGATTACAATCCCTACGGTTACCCTCATTTGCATCCCGTCAACGGGCAGCACGGTCTGGTGGACGCCATGAAGTCGGACAAGGACGTGGGATGGCCGGGCCACGGAGGATATCCCATTCCCTCCCTGACTCCGGGAATCAACAGGGATCTGGTACCTGGAGAGGACACCTTGCAAGGAGCCAATTCTTCTCTGGGAGACTCTCCGGGTCTGAGAGGTCCCGTCTTGAATCCCGGTCTACCCAATTCGTACATGTTTCCGCTGTCGCCCAAGCTTCCAGCGGAGATGGGCATGGACGACAAATCCGGCTCCGTCTTCTCTTCCCTGTTGACCAAGGACGGCAACGTCAAATATCCCGAATTGATGCCGGACGGAATGATGGGAAACCAAAGCGTTTTGCAAGACCCCAACGCTCCTCCGCTGGTGCCGCCCAAGAAGAAACGGGGGCGCCCCTGTGGAAGCAAGAACAAGCCCAAACCTCCGGGCGAACAGAAGGAGCGAAGACCCTACAAGAGGAGGAAACGGGCCGAACCGGACGCGGCCACCACGGAACAGATGCGCAAAATTCGGGGGTTTTACTTCGGTCCCTACGTGCACATCAGCGGCACGAGGGAGAGGCCACTATCTGTCACCGTGGTCAACCTCCCTCCTAAAGAGGACGAGACGAAATTCCTCAAACCCAAAAGACCCTTTCCGCTGACGCCGGGACCCAAGCCGACGACGGTCGCCGAAATACCCAATTCGTCGTCGCCCGCGCCCGCGCCGGAAACGGAACCGGGAGGCGGAACGGTGGGAGAAAAGCATTGGGTGTGCGCCTTGTGTTTCAAAAACGGTCACTACCGGGGTTTGGGAGACTTGTTCGGACCTTATCGCTTCTTCGACCGTCTCAAACCCACCTTCTCGGACTGTCTGGAGTCGTCGTTCACGCCACCTCCCGAACCCTGTCTGGATCTGGACGACGAGGGCGACGACGACGGAGAAGACGATTTCGGCAGCGCCACCGAATCTTGCCAAAGCAACGGCCATTTCGCAATTTTGAACAAGATGCGCGCCAAGAGGAGAAGATCCGAATTGGTGCACGAATTTCTCAAAGCTACGATGTGCAAGAAAGCCAAAGTACCCGTGGTGAGTGACCATTATTTCTTTTGCGGCTCCACTCTTCTAACGTTTACAACCTTACTTTTCTAATCGCAATCTAACAGTAAATCTTTGTGATGATTTAATCTTTTCGGTTCGCGTAAACCGGTAAAAGTTAAGGCGTTATTTCTCGAAGAAAACGCGATTTCTTCCTTTCATCATTCGAACAGAAATTGCGCTTAATACTTAGGGGGAGGAAGCGATCGGTGTCGGACCAGACAATAGCCACCAGCGACGACACAGTGACGAAAGTAGTAGAGGCGTAGGTGAGGGAATGGGTAAAAATAAATAAAGTCTGCTTGTTTGAGTCCCTGGCTTAGAACAGGTTCTTGTAGATTACTCTTATCGTCCCCAATTTGGAACGCTTCCAAGTGTGCTCTGTTTTTATACGTGTTTAGATTAGTCTAGTGGATGCGGACGTATTTATCGCCAATAAGCGCGCCCTCCTTTTCTAAGTACGGGTTTACCTTCGGCCGCAATTATTTCCAAAATGCTTTATTTTATATAAACGTTAAAGTTCCCCTTTGATTTTTTTTCTTATTTTCTTCCGGTGGAATTTTTTCGTTCCACGCCATTCTAAAGGAATAATTTATTATCTATTTTAATTAAATTCGAATTCTTTTTCGAATCGGAGTAGAACGTAGGGTGGTGGGAAAGTCGGTTAACCGGGGGCGACTTATTAATACCTTATTTGAAAAATATATTTTGCTAACTTCCGTCCCATAAAAGGGGCTAGGAAAATCGAAAAAAAATGTTCCGGCCGGGCGTGGTAAATTAATAAGAAATTTGGTAATTTTTGTCCGGCCGACCGAGCCGGAAGGATTTAAATTTGTACGAATATTTCATCCGGTTTTTCGAATTTATGGCGGGACGAATATTACGATTTTTCTTTGTTTCGTAGACTTAAACGTGGGCAGAGTGATGCGCTAATGAATATTTTTTTCGGAGGAAATATCCATCACAGTCTGTGGTAGGAAGTGGAAGGAAATTCTGCGGTGGGGATTAACGGAACCATTTATCATTTTATTGAGAAAATATAATAAAACGCTCGTCCGAACGATGCCCCAAATACAAAACTATAACCACCTTTTATACGGCCGAATCGAACAGTTTTCGGCACGAGTACTTTTCTCCGCCTTCTTCGTATGGGCGCGAACGAAACACGTAAATCTGAGATAATTTGCGAAAATCGTAATTGTATTGTTACGGGAGTGGGGCTTAAATCCTTTTTGTGTGTTTCTTAATTACTGTTTATAATTGGAAATTAGTCGAGAAAGAATTTCTGCCGAAAATATTCGGCGGGCGAAATTCCGGCATAACATTGGAATCGATTAATTCCAAAAACAGGCGTAAAAATCTCGTCGTGGTTTAAAATTTCCGTTCGTAAATAGCGAAAAATACCGGAAACGGTCCTATAGATTTGTTAAGGCGTTAAAAGACTTGGTACGAAAGTTTTGATTACGTTTACCGAATTGGCATTTACTTCTGCACGATTTATCAATTGTTTCGCTTCTTTTAGACACGTGGGGAAGAATTTCGGATATTTGTGTTTCGTCCGTTTGCAAAAACTGTTTTCGTAAACGTTTGTTTTTGTTTTGCGTGAATTTTGGATGCGGTTGTTTGGGCGAAAAAGTAAAAATTCGCTTATCCGAAGTATCTTCAGGGGGGGTGAAGTAAAGGCAGGTGCGTCAGCGACAATCCGAAATCGAATCCGTTGTTCGGGATCTCGAAACTTGTCGTCGGCTTTTATTTTCGTTAGAAACGCCCAACGTCGTAAGCTTTGGACTTTTGTGGCATTCGGTCTTTTTCGTTTCGTTATTTATTTGGCACGGGCTTTTTTTGGCCGCGATCCACGAAATTACAGTTTTCTCCGTTGAGAAATATTGAAAAAGACCGTATTTCTGCCGTAAAATAGTATAAAGGCCGCTAAGTATAATTATTTCGTAGTCGAAAATGTGCGTAATACCAACGTTTCCGGTAACGGATCGGTATTTTTTGGCCTTTATTTCTTTAGGCTTCTCGATCCCTTTTCATTTTAAAATAATATTTTAACGCGGAAATAACGACTCTATAAGTCGACAAAGGTTGTAAGATTGTGGCTGGCACTTGGAATTTAATTCGTTCCGGCAGAACGTTCGAAGTCCGAATCATTTTCTTCCCTTAGAAATGGCGGAAAGCCAATTCGTTCTCGGACTCTACCCGGATGCCCGTTTCTATAAACAACAAATACACGATTTAAGATAAAAGTAACAATTAAATATCCTAAAAATAAATTAAAACACGGAGATGACAAATAAAATACGTAGATATTGTATCTTATATTAATAATTGTTAGATTTCTTTTACTCTGCGCCGAAATTTTATAAAATTATAACGATATAAATAACGTATTTTAAGGAGACGTTTCTAATTGTTACACTATTTTTAGACGTTTGGGCGGCGAAATTTAATGGGTACGAATGCCCTGGCGTGAAAATATGCTGTCGGAATTCTCCCGAGTAAATTCTTTATTGAAATTTCAAAAGCAAAATCGGATCCGCGTGGAAAAACGAAAACTCAAAATTCTCTCTCTCGCTAAACTTTCGATTTACGTTTTCGGATTGATATTCGTATAGCGATTCAGTTTCTATCAGAGGGATCTGGGTTCGATTCCCGCTCCGGGCACACTCTCTTCGTCTTCCTTTCGGTTTCTACCTTAGGGAGGAAACAGAATTCCCCGACAAAAAATAAATCACTAGACTATTTCTATACACCTTAAATGGGTCGTGCCTTCTTTTAACTACTTTTTCAAAATAAACTTCTTTACAGACTCTTTCTTATAGATTTATTCGAGAATCCATTATCTCCAGGTTAGATTAGACGAAGATAACATTTCTGATGCAGAAATGTATACGAGAAAGCCGAGTGTTTTTTTGATTATTTTAAAAACTTCGTAGCCAATTTTATTTAAATATTAACACGGATTAAATTAATCACGTACGTAATTAAAGCTGCATGTATATATATATATATATATATGTTNTCTTAATTATATATATAAATGATTAAAATTAAATACAAAAATCTTCTACACGTCAGGGAATATTACTCTCGTCAGTTCCAGTTTTACGGCGTATTATATTCTTCTCTATAATAATATTGCTGAGTATAAATGTAATTAATCATTCCGAAAGAAGCCAGCTTACTTTTTATTTCTGCTTTTTATATTCAATTTAAATAAACTCGTTATTTAAATTGTCCCCGCGCTTCGTTAGCCGTTCCGTTCTTTTTCGTTTTTCTTTTGAGGGTGGCGCCGAAACTGGTCGTTCGAAATCGGTTTTGCTTTCCTTTCCACGTGCGGATACGTTTTTTTTATTCTTATTGTTAAGCAAAGTCTACAAAATCCACATCCTTATTCCCTACCATGCCCATAGATATGGGCCGGGTAGGGAATATTCCTTCTCCATTGCGTAGCAAATGCCCAAAGTGTGCCAGAGTTGGTTAAACCGGTGGTAATTTTGCAGCGATTTTTTAAAAGTAGATAATTATATTAATAAATAACCAAGCGATCAATTATGATAGAAGGATTCTTAATATAAAAACGAAACGAGTGGCTTGACGACAAATAAATCGATAATTTTTCAACGTTGTTTAATTGACGGATCTCTTTTCGAGTACCGTAAAATAAGGCGAGCGTATTGCATTTACCGGTTGGGAATCTCAAATATAAATTTTACAGATTATAATTTCGTAAGTACAGTACGTGTGTAGGTATAAGCGTATAAATTTTGGAAATACCGGTTGGATTTTTACGTATAAACGTTATTAATAAATTCTAACCTTTCGTAATCATTAACAGTTTTCCGATAGAGGTTTCTACAAGAGCGGATTCATCGAAGCGAATGACAATTTTTTGTAGGAAAATAGTTCGTAGAATTAGGGATTGTGGAATCTGTTAAAGTACTTGTTGTAACTGTAGAAATTAGAAAGGTATTTATTGTTAAATCGAAGAATACAGTCGGAGTCCAAAGCTTGGAGCAGTGGAACGGAGGTTCGCGAATGACTTCTTGGAAATTTATTCCCAGAAAATAAGTTAGATAATGAAAAATATTGTTGTATTTTCGCCATAATAACGGTTACGGTAAATGCTGGTAATGCATCGATTTGACGAAAAAATAGACGCCGAAATTTCGATTGATAAACGCGTTTTTTTTTTAACCGCAGCGATTAATTTCCCAGCCACGCTGGCCCGTCCCTCGCCGATTAACGCATTGGCCGTAATTGATAAACGGATTAGCGAAACGAATTCCGCTATCAAAAATTCGTAATATTCGTGCGACCGGACCTATCGATTTTCGGAGTCATCCAATACCGGAAACGGAAGTTATAAGAGTTTGTACTTGGTTGGGGTGGGGTAGCGGAGCATGAGAATTTCTTGCCTTCGCTCGGCCTGGCGTAGCCACCACTTACGACAAATTTAAATTGATAAGGCGGTTTATATTAAAGTTAAAATTCGTAAATTAAGTAGACGAACGTGGCGCCATTTATGCTCCGGAGAATTTGCCGAAAATTACGTTTCGTGACACGTTTCGCTCCCGGTTTTCCGGATAAAAACAATGGCCGCTTATGGTAGACGGAGTTTAGATTCTGGTTAGGAGCCGGCCATGGGTTCGTTTATAGAAAAGATAGAATGACCGAATGAATTAAAGTTGGTCACTTAGTGATCTGATGTTAATTAAGCGGAGCACTGGAAAATCGTTACATCTGGATTTGCTTGAATTAATTAGTTTGTGAATAACACAGTGGAATGATAATACTTGCTAACATAATATTGTAGAGAATAACTCACGGTGTAGTTCATCCGGACAGTTTCTCGTTCCACTTTTGCTTTATTATTTAAATTTTATCTCCAATAAAACCTGGGCTTTAATCAGTTTTCCGTAATTAGTTTTACCATAGAACAAGATGGAAATTGTTTTGTGTAGAAATATTCTTAAACTTGGCCTTAGTATTTCACTAGGGCCGAATATAAAGATGAATATTCTATTTTTCGATAAAGCGGTGGTAATTTTCATAACGTCGAAGCAGAATTTCCAAATATAAACTTTAATTTCTCACCTAAATGAAGTTAAAATTACGAAATATTGCACTTTTCGCCATTAGGAATCGTTTGATTAGCTTCGAATACCATGGTAATATTAAGACCGGAAATGCGTACTTTAAATTTCAACCCATAAACATTATTCTAAGGTAATATTTTCTTGAATTATCGTTTTTCTAGAACACTTTTTAAAAATGTAGTAACCTTCGGTTGTCTACTTCGGAGCGCTCTCGACGTATTTATGCGTGTAACACTATATATAAGTTAAGATACACCTTAAAACATCTAAAGTTAATACTCCGAAAATTCATTATTTACCCCATTCGTTGTTAAAAGCCAGTTTTCACCGAATTGAATTTGCCCCAATTTTTCTTCTTTTTCGTAGTAATTTTAATAGATAAAGATGTAATATTTCCCTTGTAATTAATAAAATATGGGCTTGTTTATATTGCAGATATCCGTAAGTTCCGTTACCGAAGCCGTTGTTCCTGTAAAAAGACTCGATTCCGAAGAAAACTGTGATCCAGTAAGTTAAAATTTGATATTTTCTTTTACGAGAATCGAACGAAGTGGCTAAAAAAACACTTAAAAAACAATAAAAATTGCCGCCTCTCGTAACAAATTTTAGGCGGTACTTAACGGAAGAATAATCGAATTAATTTTATTTAATAATATTAAACAAATAAAATTTATTCTTTGAATACTTTCTGTTGTACAGTACTACACTTACTCCTTTAATAATTAGTAAAAAGTTTTCGCTCTTTAGCAATTAATAGATACTTTTATTTTTAAGTAGTTAATAATTAGCGAAAAGTTCTCGGCAACTACTAATTAATAATAATGAAAAAAAAAGTCATTAACTAAATAAAAATATTCTTATATATTAATAATCAACAACTAGTAAAAGTATGGAATACGTAATTACTTAAAATAATAAAATATTTTGATAATTAGTAGAGAGATTGAGGCCGAAGTTTTCACGTTTGAGACACGAAAACTTCGGCCGCAACCTCTCTAGTAACTAAATAAGGTAAAGGTGTTTTATTTAAGAAGCAATTTAATGCCGATTATTTCGGTTTTCGATAGTTGATAACCCGTAATATTTTCCCTTTAACTAATTAGAATCAAAGGGTTTATTATTTCGACGAAAATATAATAATATTACGGTGTAACGTTTTCGGTTCGACGTTCTTCGTGACGTTCGATAGTTACGTTTACGGAAACGACGACGTTTTTTCTAGTGAAACACGTCGTCGATAAACGTCGGAGAGTTTTTATTTTTAATGCAACCGGACTAATTCGATAAAAATAATTAATTGCGACTAAAGATCCAATTAACGCGAATACACACGATATAATTAAATAGTTTATTGTATTGAATTTTTGATTTAATTAGTCTTATTCACTTTGGAAAATTTTTAATTAAAATATTTTATATGTTAATCCTTCTTTATTGCCCATTTTTTTCTTCCCCCTTCGTATTAAAAGCTTACAAAATGAATTATTGTCAAATAATATTTTAATTAACTATAAACGAATAATAAAGCGATTATGGTTTTTTTCTTACATTAATAATACATTTGGAAAGATATCGACCGGAGTCGTAACCGTTGTACTTTATTAATAAGTCGATTAATCGTCGACTTTTCGATTAATCGATTAATTAATCAAAATATATTTTTTTTATTTTATATTATTAAATTGTTAAAATTAGATTTTTGTATTAATTAATTGAAGACGAGACGAGCAAGTATTTGGTTCCTTCTTTTTCGCTTCTATTTTACGCTTTTATAATAATTTAGGGCAGTTATATCCTCTGTAATATATTAAATCTTATTATTCCTTTATATATAAAACGTATTTTTATTATTAACAAGACACCTAAAACGCTAAATAAGAGCATATCGAACATACGGTAGAGAAGAACAAAATATAATAATACAACGGGGATCAAATTTTTTTTTAATATTCTTAATATTTGCTGTAATAATTAGCCATTAAATAATTTTTTAAATCGTGTAAGTAAGCTCAAAGTAGTACATTGTACTTTGCTAACAATCGCAATGTGTTTCGTTTTACTTTCCCGGCTGTTATTTACAATACATAACACGGGAAAATATTGAAAAATCGTGTGAAATTTGATCCTAGTCCTCCATCTTTTGAGATCCACGAACCCAGAAAAGTCTAAAAAAAAAAAGGGGAAACATTTCCGTGGATATATATGTACTGTACTGTACTGTGCGGTACTGTATTTGTGTTGGCATCTATTTCGTTTAATATCTCAGTATTGGTATAGATTAAGATACGAAATTCGGCACGTTAGCTTGTACTGTACATAATGTATCGATGCTATTTAATTTTGATGGTTTAAAGGTTGAGGGGTGGGAAAATCGAGGGGGTGACGTATCGTATCTCGTGAACGGTCGGATCGGACTTAACTAAGATTTTACTTGTTATTAGCATTAGGAACAATTTGGTTCATCATGATTAATTAATAATATAAAAGTTATTTTTAAAATAAAATGTCGTAACAGTCGGGAAAGTTACAGTCGACTCGTTGCTGGATCGCTTGTATTTCGTTTTACTTTCCGGACTGTTATATAGGGAAAGTATGGGGATCGATCAAAAAATTACCCCCCCCTGCCCCGAGATTTTTATATTTTTGGATTCAGGTTACCTTGAAACGTCGAGAAATGAAAAAGAATTCGGGGGCGATATCCGTATGTATGAATATTTGTGTGGGGGGGCACGATTTTGTTCACCCTGTTTGAAGCTTAATAACTTCTTTGTTTTTTGTCGAAAATTTCTGAAATTTTCCATCGAGGTTTGTTTATTAGGGGGATCGGTACTGTTGAATTTTGGTGATTAAAGGTCGAGGGGGCGGGGAGATAAAGGGGGTTATGTGTATCTCTAGTAGGGTCAGACTTTGTAGTGTTCTCGAATTTTTGCTATTGATTTTGAAATATTAGTTAATGAAAATCTTCGTGAAACGAAGCCTTACCGTATACCGAGACGGAAGTCTTCACAATGTTTTATTATTCTATTATTAAATTGCTCATATTTCGGAATGTTCGGGCAGAAACAATGTAACTACGAAAAGGATTGTACTTTTGTTCTCTTAACGTACACGTTAACCTATATACCGAAGATACGGGCTATCGCAACCGTCCAAAGATTATTTCTGTCATTTAATCAAAGAAGGCCACACGTTGTTAAGCGTTAAAACATTTGTTTTTCGCGTCGATCGATTTGCATTCAAAATTATTAAACCGAAAAAAGTAGAATGCGTCGTTGTTGCTCTATATTCTCTATAAATCTGTAAGATTAACCATAAAAATCCCAAATTATACACAATAACATTTCTTTACAGGTAAATGTATAAAATTTTCTTAAGCGATTGGAATTTAATTCTCTTCTTCGTAATCAAAGTATTATACTTCAACATAAAAAGCAAGAAAGAGATGTTATTTAGCTTCCTAACTTAAAAGCGTAGTACAAAATTACTCCAATTACAGCGTATTCTGTAATTGACAATGGCCTAAAAGCATTATTAATGAGCCACCTTCAATTATAGATCATCGATAGGCCTTACCTGGTAGATAACTTTCGGTTATAATAGACATTGTAACTGGAATCTTTCTTGTTTTTATTTCGGATAACGAAGTGTAATTCGGTTCGTTTAATGAATAAAATGCTCTTTTCTCTTGCTTAGAAATTATTTAAAAAACGGGAAAACCAGGCCTAGGAAGATTCGAAAAGATCGATTACGGGCCTGGTATTCTCTTTTAAACTATTGAGAAAAAAAAATTTACGATTTGGAACGATTCAATAATTTTTTAGAGGATGCGAATATAATGAATATTAAAGCTTCTTCCCAAGGATATTTACATTTTTTCTCCCGTTCGTTGTTTACTTTAAGAGGAAATAAATTGATGTTTACTTTTTTCTGTTCAATTTTTTTTTCGTACCTTGTACTCATTTTAATATAAACAAATTACTCAATTATCTAGCGGTTAAAATTTAAGGAATAAATCTGTAAAGCTGAAAGAGAAGTTTAATTTTAGGACCGCGTGTCTGTCACACTCCGTATAGCTTCTTCGAGAACTGTTGGTCGTAGAAAAGGGTGGTCGACGGCACTTTTTTTTTTCTATATTTTAGAACGTTCGCAGAGTAAGCTGCATCGCATTTTTATTTTATTTATAATATAATTATCTCTATTTTTGAGAGGTTCTTAATTTCTGTTATTATTGTTATTATTATTAAAACGATGAAAAGTTAAGTGAAGATCTCGTCCCTTTAGGAGGAAAGTACTGTACACAATTCTTAACTATTTGATCAGAATCGAATGATTTTGGAAAAATTGGAGCATATTCAAATATTTAAAGTAATTTTCCGTGTATTTTTCGATATGGATATTTTAAATTTATTGTGGTTATTTTTTCGAGTCGTGCGGATTGAATTAATCGGATTTCTTTCCATCGACGACCTCGATTAGACCTTGGCTTCGGAGTGTGGAAATTGTTTTCGAGCAATTAGCTGCGCTATTTTCTTGTAAAAAAGAAGTTAATTATGGAGATAAGATTTGCAACGACTTAAAAAGAAATTGTTTTACCATTTATGATCCATAGAAAATGTAATAAGCCTGCAGGCTGTCGGCCTTTAATTTTACGAGCCACCGTAAAGCGAGTAAACGACGAAATAATCGATTCGTTTCTCCTATCGTACCGAGACTAATCGATTAATGCGGCTAAAACAATGGAGTAATCGATCAGTCGATTCCTAATTGGCCGTTCTGGTAAAATTATGTCGGTTTTTCTCTTACAAAAATTCAAACCGGGCATAAATTGAAGTAAATCGGCACATTAACCTCGATTTTTAAACTATTTACTATTAGAGTTTTTAGTAGGAGAATATTTACAAGTGCTTTTGTGTTATAAACCTCTACGCTGTTTGCCTTGTAAACATGTATTTAAACTTTTAATTAGGTTTTTAAACTGGGAATATTTGGCAATTAGATTAAACTGACCCGTCTAAAAATTATCTTCGGCAGTTTTTTCCCCCTCGGCTCCGTGCTTACTATACGTCTATCGAAAGTTGCCCGTCGCAATTTCGGTATCGCCACAGCAAATATATTTTCCCTCGCAACGTTCTTCCCTGTCTGTTCTTAATTGCAGTTTTATGCTCTTCTAATCTCTCCATTAAATTTCTGCTTCGTTGAACCCATCTAATTTCTTCTTCCGACTGGATACAACATAGGAATGTCGTATAGACAGACCTATTTTCTCAAAATCTTTATCCCATTCTTAACGATTACTCTTTTATATGTTTTATTTTTAAGGATTTCCTAAGATTACACTTAAGAACCTTTAGAAATTATTTATGCGCGACTATATACAATTACATAATTTATATTTTCGTCGATAATCATAATTATTAAGATTAAAATAGCGTTAATCTTAATCCTCCGATAGCCGTATTCGTCAGATTCCTTATATTAATCTAAATTAAACCTTTAAAAAAATAATAATAATTTAGATTAATGTTATAATTCAGTTTGTTAATATAACAATTTATATGAATTATTTATTCTTAACTTAAAAATTTTATTTAAAGAATACGCCAAATAATAGAATTTTTATTTCACCACCGAACAAACACGATCAGAAATTCAATTTTAAATTGAAAATTTGACAAAATCTTCATTGTGTATTAAATATTAAAGACTTTAAATATTCATTAATTCTTAAAATGTATCATTCCGAAGTCGATATAATTGTTTTTTTTTCTAATTTACTGTTTAAGCAACGTTCTCCGAAGATCCAAAAATTCAAGCCACTACATTTTCATCAATTAAGCGTAAGAAAGCGCAAGATTCCGTTCGTTGTTTCTTGTATATCAAAGTATATATTAATAATTTAATATAAATTACTTTAAAATTGAATATAGAAATGAATTTAGTTTCTTTATTTATACATTAATAATTTGGTGAAGTCGAAATTCTATCAAATATACTTACTGAAGAAATATGCTGTATCATTCAAATTGATAGGAGGAAGCTGTAGAAAAGTCTGCGATCAGCAAGTTTGATGAGCAAAGTTGTTATATAAAACAGCATTGAATGTTGCTGCTCAAACAGTAAATTACGGAAAAAATCGTATTATTTTCGGAATAATAGATTTTAAGAGACGGTAAACATTTAAGTTGTTTGAAAAATAATGAATATTTTATCACATTTTTTTTTTTTAATTTAAAACTAAATTTCTAATGACGGTTATTCGTAATATAAAAAAAATTCCGGTTGCTTTTCGAGCAAAATTTCAATGTTAATAATAAATAATTCAAAGAAACTTATTATGAAGCGAATCAATTTTTTGAAGAAGAAATATTTCTTTTAGTTTTTATTTTCATTTGATTTTCATACTTGCTTGATTATTAGATTGATTTGAAGAAAAATTAAATAATCACATCCACTTTTAAGGACGAAATTGGTTTTTAAATTCTTTTTTTTTTTATTAATAAAAATTTCACGTTATAACAGATAATGTAAAATTGTGCCGTGGAAGAGAGTATGGATTTCTTCTTTTTTATAAAATATTCCGGGTTAAAGTAGTTACTGCAGTGGCCTCTCTTTTTAATAAACGATTGTTACAACTATAACAACAATGATCGGTTTGCCTCATCATATAACAAACTCCATTGTTATTTGATTCTTTTACCAAGAGATTTATTTGCCAATTTTATTACAACTATTCCAGCTTTACTTAATTCTATTTACAAAAATGTCGTCTAAGTAATGAAGCCCCATCTTAGTTCTCTTGGTTCTCTGCTCGCTGTTAATACATCTTTTTTTCTTTCTTTATTTCTTACTAGGATTAAACAACTTCAGTTAGATCTCTAGAGGGAGGTGAGCATGTAAGGTCTCCTCTTTCTTGCTGATAAATCTTATTTTCAAAGCAGAAACAGTAAAGTTAATAACCAGATTGAAAGTAGAAAATATTTGATTTCGGAAAGTCCCTTCTTATATAGAAATTTTTAAAAATCTTTGAATTGTATTAATTTTTTTTTTCCTTTGTAAATTCTTTAAAATCATAATTGAAACATCAGGAATGCAATGGGGATAAAATTTATCCATAGATTAATTAAAGAATATTATTTTTCATTCTTACGATTATTTGAATTTTTGTATTAAAAAATCATCTGGTAATTTAATTAGTTTCTAATTATTTTTCGGTAGTCGGATCGTACGTCTTCGAAAGCATTTAAATTAATTTATTTAAAAAGTGTTTTGTCGTCCAACAGGCAGGTAAACCAGATCAACAGAACGAAGAATCGGAAGCCGTGTTGGAGCCTTCTCTTCCACCTCCGCCTCCTCCTCCTCCTCTTCCTCCTCCTCCCCCGCCCGCGAGTCCTCCCACGGAACTTCCGTTTGATATAATTGGACACGATAAAGAATTTTGGGTCCACGAAGATTGCGCCGTTTGGTCCCAAGGAGTGTGTCTAATAGGACAGCAGCTACACGGTCTGCAAGATGCCGTGCAAGACTCATTCGAAATGGTAAAGTCCTATATTCCCCCCATCGTCGGAGAGATAGACCAAAAATAATCACATCTTCTATTTGCATTTTTAGCTCTGTTCCAAGTGCAGAATACAAGGAGCATCTCTTAGCTGTCTAGTTAAAGAATGCACAGAGCAGTTTCATTACATCTGTGCTATCGACAAGGGTATAAAACAGTTTTCTTTACTAAAATAACTGTAACATTGACTCGCGTATAGAGCATAATGTATGAAACGTCGAATTTAATAAATTAACAGCATTGGAAATCTTAAGACAAACATCGAATGCAGTTACCCCGTAATTTAAAAAAATCCATTCAAATACTTGATTAGAGACAAATACTTTCGGTTTATCGCGCTTAATCTTAATTATATTTTAAAAATAAAACTTATATATTGAATTTTGGAAATTGGAAAAATTACAATTGCGCTTTTTATATTATTATTATTTTATTTTATTTTATTTTTTTTGCAGGGTGCGAAATGGACGATTCGAATTTTACCATGTTGTGTCCGAAACACAAGGTAAGTCGACGTCAGATTAATTCGAGGGATTAATAATAAAATTCGGTTTATCGAAATTCGGCTAACCATTTCAGGAAATCGGGGCACGGGCCAACGAAAGAACGTCCGAAATTTGCAAGGAGTAGGATAATTTCTGAATTAAAACTCTCGTTTGTGACCTTCAAAATTATAGAACTTCAATGTCAATTTTTAATGAATTAGTTAACTTTTTTGCTCGAAAGATATTCTTCTTTACGTGAACGGAAAAAAACAGAGAAAATACAAAAATAAATAATTTGTAATAAGATACAAAATAAAAATACAATAATTGGAGAAGATTAAAATAGTGGGAAAATTAAATTTATGTAAATAACTAAGGAATCATCTGTTTATCGATTTCTAGTAAAAGTTTTAACAGAATTTTATTTCTGTAAAATTTTAATTAAATGAAAATCAAATTCTGGAAGTATAATTACTTAATTTAACAATTAATTTAAAACATAGGATTTTTTTAAAATAAATACATTAATTGATATTTCAATACGCGATAAAAAAAACACGTCTGACTTCATTCCCAATCGTTAAGTAATTTTTTAAGTAATTCAACAACGGTAGGCACCGAGTCGAAATAAAACGATTTAAGGCATTTGACGTAAACAAATAAGGCCCGTCAATAAATCAAACGGTGCAAGAGTTTTATCCGCCATACAATTGACGACTGTTTCCAAGGCCAATACGTAAGAAAGAGTGATTTTGTATAGAAGATTCGAATAATTACTTCAATTTATTTTGGAAAAATTTTATACACAACACAGATTCGGATCCGAATAATGTTAAATATACATTTCTTCTGAGTTTTCTTTTCGTTTGGTAGCTTTTATATAGCAGATTTTGTCCTTTCGGGTTTCTTTATATTAATGTTTAGAAACTGTTTATTTATTTTAATATATTGTACTGTACGTGTACATTTTTAATAAGCAAAGATTAGAATACAATCGAAAGAAATTAAAATATTCTATAGAATATAATTAGTATTGTGATTTGCTTCAAGTTTTGATAGCAGATGGCTCCACTTATCCGAGTGTTTTTTCTTACAATGGTTATTAATGATTATGTTATATACTATAGTATATAATAGAATGATAAAATAAGTTATTGGGATTTTTAAATACATTATATTAATTCTAACGGTTCCTATATCTAAGTATGATTATTAGAAAATGTAGCCTATATTTATACAGGTAGGGACGAAAGTGTTTTTCGTGTATTGTTAACGATAAAGTATACGAATACAGTAATCTTCTGTTAACGAATTATTTTAAATTACGAAAAATTTCCGCTTAATTAACTTACGAATGGTTCTATTATTATAAATATAATTCTAGACGAATAAGTCATTCCAAATTACCAGAAATTTTATAGAAAGAACTAATAATCTGAAATACTTATTTCGCAAATCTAGATGCTGCCACGGGGAGCCATATGATTCTAGCGCAGCCCAAAGGTGCACCACACTTCCGATATTCTATATAATGTCAGTAATATTTATAATAAATAAAAATATTTAAAAAAACTAGGAAAAATAAGAATAAAATTTTATTTTCTTTCCGCGTGTTGGAAAATTTCTAAAAGCGAATCTTTTCTTTTCCGATGGTAAATTACTGGCTTTTAATTTCTTTAATGTCGGAAAATCGAATAGAGAATTCTCCATTCGGTCTTCCGACCGGGTTTTGGGCGGTGTTTGAATCTCCGCTCGTTGGCCACACTCTTAAGAGTGTGGTAGGTGATCGGGGATGGTCGAAAAGTGCCAAATCTTCAAGCATTAACTTAAAAGATTCGGTTCCTTTTATTTTCGTTATTCACAATTCAAATACATTTAGATGTAATTTTTAAAAAAATAAGTTTACGTATTGCCTGTTTGTGTGTTATATTGCATTTTGCCTATGTTGAATTGTTTGGTCTTAATTTATACTTCCTTTCTCGTTTTATGCCCCGTCAAAATGCAAATATATTGTATCTTCGGTTAAAATATCTTGGTAATTATGCAAAAATTAATTTAAAAACTTTGATTTTCTTGAAATTTGCTGGCAGCTTAGACCGACAAACTAAGCGTGGATCGCGTAGAGTAATTGAAAAGTTGGAAATTTATTAGGATAAATGAGTAACAGTGTCCTGTAACTAATTCTTGTATAACTTCAACGCGTAATCCTCCCCACCATTGTTACTTTGGAGTTTTCGTTCTTCGGGATTTATTTGTTTTTATTATTTTTGATTTGTGACGGGAAAGACGTTGTTACGTAGAGTAATATGTTGTCAAAAGCAGAAGACGGTAATGTGTTAATCTTGCATTAATTAATTTATTTTTCAGAAAAAACCACGAATGGAGAAACAAACATCGAGTGACGGATAAAGATGAAAATCAGATCAAAATGTGTATTCCTTTGTTCCATATTTTATGTCATGGACTAGAGGGAATCATTCTACCGATTTTAAATGTGCCGTATCTACGCATCTACGAGATAAACTTTCTACTCTTTCACTCTTAGAGGAATTAAATTAAATAAATAAGTAAATAAATAAACATATATTCGGATGACAGACAAAAAAAATATGACAAGTGCAAACAAATTTGCACACAGTCCATACCAAAACTATTTTTAATTCCTCCGGAAGAAATTGGTTTTGTTAAAATCTGGTGTATTTTTCTCTTCTATTGATTCGACTGTCGGAGGGCGTATTGGGAGAGATTGCACGCTTGATATATATAATACATCTCTGTTGATTCATTGACTACATTGTTTGCATGTCATGGCTTGCTGTGAAGGTGCAATCCCCGTTAAGTTGTAGAAGCCCATTTTTTGTAAGTGTCTTAATTTGTTGTGTATAGAGTACAGTAAGATCTGTATGTAAGTCTGTACTTAATATCCTAGGAAGTCGATCATCAAATCTCAGAACTGATGTATATTCCCATCGTAACGAAAGTTTTACTTTCATCGCCTATAGAAGCATGAGTACAAAATTTCATCAGACCAGCGTATTATTGTTACCGGCCAGTCGACGGGAAGTGAGAGAACTTTGTTTTGCAATGTACGACGACGTCTGGAAAAAAATTAAGTAAAACGACAACGTTCTCCCACTTTCCCGAACCATCCGGTAAATTTTAGAGCTTAAAAACAAATAAATAAAAAAAATTACCAATCTGTAAAGGAATTATAGTATAAAAGTTGAAAATTGTACTATCACAAATATGAAAATTTCCTTTTGCCCTCGTGAAGATGTTGATGTGCACAACAGGGATTTTGGATATATCATATGTTTGTGCAAATACTAGTCCAAGTTTTTTGCAGCTTTTTGCTTCGTGAACTACCGATGAGAAGTTGTTGGATGGATTTAACAAAAGTGTATATATACAATTATATATATATATAGGCCTCTGTCCTCGCCACTGCCCTACGAAAACTTATGTCGAGGTGGATGCTGGGATGTAGGACAGATGGCATTACGCCATATCTCAGCTGTGTATCATTGGTGTTGTCTTAAAACACCATTAGTTGTGTGATGTACATACCCAACAGTGTATGATCATGTGAACATACCCACAGATGGAATAAACAGTCCAACCTCTTCCCTTTCCTGTCTGTTTATTAAAAATAATTTTTCCGATTGGTTTTAAAATATTTATTGCCTGTTTAAATTTCTGTACATGGGAATACTGTAAAATCCATAGAAAGTTATAAATGATAAATATGGTTAAAATATATCATTTTTGCTTCGTTGTTTAATTTTTACACCGGTAATTAGTTTATGGTTTTGTATTCCAAATGGCCCGGGCATCGACGTAAGAAATATTTCCAGCGTTAATATCATTTTTCCATAAACTTCCTTGGAAGATCTCATTCAGACTCCAAACATCCCTTTTAAATTAAAAGTTCTCAGAAACAATCCGTTATTTTTGCCGTCGCTTTTAATTCTTCCTTTGGTTAGATAACAAGTCTTGCCCATAACGTACCCATTTTATTCAGATTTCCAGAACTAAACGAATTGTTAGTATTAATAATTTATCGCGATTTGCACCGGGGAGTAAAAGGAGTTTCAAATCAAAACCATGGCTATTTTACATATTAACGAGTGGTCGACGAGAATCACACATTTCATATTCTGTATCTTTAGACGGTAGTAAAATTAAGAAAACCTATTGCAGCACGTGTTGTTGCGGTTTCTTATAACGCAGAGCACCTTATAAATGGGATCCCCTCCGCGATACAGATAACTCTCAAGACCTTCACACATCAAAAACGGTATTAAACGTTTTATTGTGTACAATACGGAACAAAATGTGTACGATTTGGTCCCGATCGAGACGAATTTACAACGGATCGATTCGTAGAGCCGATATTTTTCGACAATTTCAAATTTGGTAATGACGTCAAACATAAAACGACTTTTGAAACTTCGCGGATACGAACCTAAAAGTATAAATTAATACCAGAATCTTCGAGATTTGCATCATATAATTTAAAATACATTCGAATTTTCCATATTACAGAAGTTCAGTAAAAATACGTAATAACCGTTAACTTCCGGCGGTTAAGATGACCGGTCTGCCGCTCCGGAAGACTCGGGATTCGATCTGAGTTTGGTTTGGTTTATTTGTATAGACTGCACTCGGCGATAAACTTCTCAACAGATGGCGCAGCTAGCGAACTTACATGGTCTATAAACATAAGATGGGACACCAATGTTCCGTATGGAGCCACCATATTGTTTCTTCCAAGGTCTCTGTTTACGCAGTAAAATTCACGTTCCTTCGATATTTACAATAATTTACACGTTTGTTTTTTTATGATCAGCAGCAATAATTTTCTAAGATCCATTCTTTTAACTTCAAATTGCGACTTTTCAAAATGTATGTAAAAAATTCGGTTACGTTATACTACAAAATTTATTGCAAACACTTCGTAAATTTATATTTTCCACATTATTTTATGCAGCCTCGAATTCTCAGTTGTTTATCCTTGGTTCTTCTGTAATATTGGAGCCATTTAGCTCTCCCGGTTTTGTTAGCGAGAAAACGGACGAAATCTTACAAGGTTCCGTGCCAAACATCAAACCATTTGAAACAAAAATAGATAACACGAATCCCAGTTAATTGAGATCGAAAAAGAAAAGCAAATTCGCCCTACAAACACCGTATACGCTACCGCAAAGGAACCAATATGGCCACCGTTGCAACGCATCACGTATTGTGTCCAGACCTTGTTACTAACACTCGATTTCTAACTTCCTGTTGTTGCTAATCGATGTTTGTGAATATATTTTTATAAATATTGTTTATGACGTTTTGAGATAAGCAGTGAAAATTTACAACCTAAAACAGTATGTTTTGTAGTATATTGTGTTAGTTTCATTGATAAACTTTCCAACGATCCAAACCATTGTACCATCCTCACAAATCTCATTGGATACCATTGTAACTTCCTCACAAATCTCAAGAAAATATAAAAGATAAAATGGAAATACTACAATCACCGTAAAAGACGATATCAGATGACACTTTCAAAAGTGTTAAAAAAAAAAAAAAAACAAAAGATAGTCGAACCATCTTCTAATCGTTTCCAGAGGAAATAAGCACCGAGGAACCAGAACATCAATTGCAAAATAATGCAGCCGAAACGTCACTCTATATTAATATCGTATTATAATAAAATGTAAAATTTAAAAAAAACAAAGAAATGCTAGTTACATCCAAACAATACGTGAGTCAATAAAAGAATGTTTAATATTAGAACTGAGTATTACAATTATTATTTATCAAGACCAATCGCTTTTATTATTTTATAGTGGATTTCCAAATAGGTAAGTGTTTATCAAGCTGTTATAGTTTATGAATACAACTGGAAAAATTACAAGTGAATTTCAACCGAGGAAAGGTCAGTTTACGCCGATCCGGACGAAACCGAAAGGAATTTGTTAATAAAGATGTAAGTTTCTGATTTGGAACGGGTGAATTTACAGTCGTGAGGATATTTCGTAGTATAATTGTACTATTCTATCATTTAATTGTATATATTGTACTAAAAAATACAATTAAACGGCCACAGAGGAATACAGTTTAAAAACAAACTTTCCGGATGTTTTCAAAGACCCAAAGTACGAAAATATTACATGCATTATTGACCAATTAAACCCTGGAAAGCTTTTATACGCTTTAAAAGATTTTTTTATGTAGGTAATTTGCGTAAGATACGTAATTTGCGGAAGATAAATCCAAAGGTTCAAAAATTAATGTTTGCTCCAATTTTTAACCGTTTGGAAACATTGTTTCCGAAGCATCCGTCTAACGGATTCGGAAACTTAAATCTTTATATTTGGATTAGATATTGTGCCATAGTTACACTTCTGTGCGGCAATTTTTTTCCGAATCCCACTTACCTGGCCGAAATTATATACCTCGAAGGTGGTCAGTTTTATACGTTTAACTCCGAGTGTTGCAGTTATGTTTCTTTGTAAATTGATCTTTCTACTGAAACTCACTGTACTGAACTTTCTGCTTGTACACTCAGGAAAATGGCATAGAAGAGAAAAATTAGTTAGGTCTATTAGGAAAATGTTTTTTCAAAAGCCAGAAAGAAAATAAAGTTGTTGCGATATAACAAACGAAGACAGGAAAAAGAAATCGAAAGTATAGATCATCTACTGATGGAGTTAAAAATAATAGAATGCTCGAAAATGATGAAATGAAACAGTTGCCAAAGTCTGCTGGCTAAAATAGTGAATTATTTTTGAGGCAGGTCTTGAAAGTAAATTAATGCAAAATGCCTAAAGATATGGTCTAGATTTAAAGGTATTCCCTTTAACTCTCCACTATTATTCACCTAAGGCCTTAGTATACCCGTAATACTTTTCAATCGGCTTTACCACACACCCACAATTGCAAAGTGGTATGGTATAGGTATGTGAATGCTAAACCGAGTTTTATATGTGAAGTTTGTATCACTTTATCAAAGTAAAAATATCCAGCAACGAGTTGCTTAACTTTCCCGGCAAGATTTAAAACTGAGTTTGCCGATATATGTTGCGATATTTTATTTTAAAAAGCTTTTATATTTTTAATTGTTATGAAATAACAGAAAGCTTAATTTTGAGGTTAGAGATGGGTTTTATAAAAAAATTGTAAATGCTAATGAGTAAAATTATCATTAATTCTGACATACAGGACCTTCTTTATCTCCTCGCCCCTCAACTTTTAGTCACCGAAATTTAACAGTATCGATCCTCCTAATACAGAAACCTCCCTGCAAAATTTCAGAAATTCTCGGCGAAAAGCACGGGAATTATTAAGGATTATCCTGAAGAACTCGGCTTCTAATGTACTATTTTAGATGCGGTTTTTTGCGTTTTTGTGAGAAATCGAACATATTTTTAGACCCATCTAAAAACCAGTCTCGGAAGAGGGGGTACCTAATTTTTGCACCCGGTGAAAACGGGTAAGATCGGCTGTAATCTAATAATCTTAATCTTTGTTATCGTTACTTTCTGCCCGAGCAACGCCGGGCTCATCTGCTAGTATATACAGTAGATCCCCCTATAAAACCGTTTCCTATAGTTACCATTCCTATAAAAATTGTGGCATTATCCGTAAACAACGGTAAAAATAACTCCTATAATACGTAAAACGTCATCGGGCAGCCGAACTACTTACCCGCCGTCCGTAGCGCCACGCTACGGAGAGATTTCTATCGTCTGGACAGTATTATATAAATTATATATAAATTAGGTACTGTACATATAATTATATATTAATTATATATAAATTAGGTACTGTATATATAATTATATATTAACTTAATTTATTGTAACTTTATTATAATTAAATATATATTTTTCGCCGTCTAGCGTCACGCTACGGCGAGTTAGGCGACCTATCGTCTGTTTAGTACTGTAATTTTATACATTTCTTGTGAAAGAAACATTTCTTATTTAACGGCCATAAAAATTATTTATATTAATGATGTCTCCAAAGGTCAACGAAGTTTTCGCAGAAAAATAATATCAGAAATCGCGGCCGCAATTTGATGCGCTGTTCCGCGACGAAACCAAGCTTTAGCAACGGGCGTAGTCGAACGGTACACACTCGGTAAGCAATCCTACAATTTTTTGTTTATAACGTAGTTTATACGGATTATTTTCAAAAAAATATACGTATTTTGGAAATGTTGAGTCGAATTAGTCTAGAATCGATTAATTTTATGAAAGAAAACCTTTCAAACAGCCGTAGTCCGTAAACTATGATTCCTACAAAATTGATTCATAAAGAACGGAACGTATCTACCGTCTTATAGGGGGATCTACTGTACTGTATATATAAACAATAATCTTTTGTGTATTTTACGAAGTTACGTGAAAGGGTAATTTTCAATTTCTGAATTTTCTTCTCGGACTTTCCCTTGAAAGATACCCTGCGGAAGTGCAAACTCAGCAATTTTTCACGGGTGTCGGATATATCTCGCCACCAGGACCACCAGCCCATTGCAGGTTCGGCCAGGCCCAAAATGGGATGGCTTAATGATGATGGACGGAGCCAGACATATCCTGGACATATCATCATCGAAAAATTCCTGGGATTTTTTGAACCGCCCGTATTTGTTCTCGGTTATTTAAAGTATTGTTTCCTTAACTTGATGGTTTTCGATTGGGGTTCTGCGAAATGTATTTCCGAGCAATCCCATTACTCTTACATATACTGTATTACTAAAAGTACGAAAATCGCTATAAATCTACTTTAATAAAGGAGGACCCGAAGAAGAATTTACCAAGTTGAGATTGCCATTATTAGAAAAAGGTTGAATCATATAGCCTTAACCATTTGGCATTGATGGCCGAATATTTGAGCGATTAATGAGCGTTCCCTAATG